TTATTTACTATATTTATTTACTTTATAGTCTATAAAAATGCTGAATTTCCAAAGTAGTGTTTATAAGTTTACTATCAAGATGTTGGACAAAATTCTAAGCTGAAATAAATAAATGTTTAATATTTTTTCCAGAAATCTGTTTCCTGATAATTTGGTTACTGCTTGTTTCCAGAAGGTAAGAATCTTTCTTACAGCGGCACAGATTCTTTGAATCTTTTTTTTAGAGCAACACATATTTTTGTTTAAAAAATACATGTAGACGCCATGAATATGTAAGCATTCCCTATATGTCCGTGTCGTGATCGGATATACAGAGAAATCCATTGATAAAGAGTGAAGAATAAGAAACTGATTTTTCTTATTGATTAAAAAAAATCTTACCTATTTTTATCCTGGATTCTTGTTGCAGACTCAGACAAAATACTCCCAATCTACAAGAGTTTTGATGATGAATGGGACCAATAGTTCGGTAACAGTTGTTCATAAATCTGTTTCCTCTACAGGAGGTCTAAATATACTAGGTAAATACAAAGAGATAAACAGTATTTATATATTTATTGTCTCAATGCACAAGACACAAATAACTGGAGACAGTTGTACAGAAACCTGACGAAAAAAAAACAAAATCACGATATAAACAAATTAAAATTACAGCAAAGCAAATAAGGTTTGTTTTGTCCTACACAATGATTGTAGATCTATTTTGTTTTCATACCTTTATATTTTAGGCCTTATCATCGCCTGTACTCTTTTTGGCATCACAGCCAGTAAGCTAGGAAAACGCGCAGACCCATTCACAGAATTTTTTGAAACCATATCCATCATTGTCATCCATCTCTTAAATTGGATTATTTGGTGAGTTAATTTTATTTCCATTAATACACAAGTTTTATAAGCTCCTGTAAATCGATTAAAAGATTATAATATAACGTTACATGTAATATATGAAGACAAAAATTAAACCAAGCAATTAATTTTAAGCTCTCGCCAATAATTCTGTGCATGGAATTGAATTTTACTTCAGAATCTTTATAACAACATGAAAAATATAAGACTTTTCTTTTTCTTTTTTTAATAATCACTTTCCTCCTAATGTATTTGTTTAATTTATGTGATATCTACATCAGATACCTGTGTAAGATTACTGGTTGAGGATATGAGTAGGACACAACCTGTGTAATACCCCCAGTATGATATTTCAGGATGACCCCCGTTGGAGTTGCAAGCCTTATTGCTACAGCAATTCTTAAAGCATCTGATATAGAAAACGTCTTCAGCAGTCTTGGAATGTTTGTTCTGGCTCATTCTGTTGGAATCATTTTTCATCAGTTGGTCCTCATTCCGATTACTTATTTCATAGCTACCAGGAAAAACCCTTTCATTTTCCTTGGCGCCTGTCTCCGACCCTGGTTAACTGTATTTGGACCGCCGAGCACGTACGTTCAATGCATTCAGTTGTGTTCGTTTCTTGAACCCTCTCGTGCAAAGAAAGGATACTCATAAGTTTAGATTTCAAGTTCTGTCTAATTTTTACATCGGATCACAGGTTCGAAATAATGTTGAACTGTCTCCCAGCAATGCATTTAAAAAAAATCATATGAATTTTACCTTGATTAATTTATAAGTTGTTCTGCCTTCTTTTTTTTAAAATGTCTTTTGTGAGGATATAGATTTTATACATTTATATACAATATTTTCAAGAATCGAACAGAAATCTATTTATATGTAAGTGCACTGTGTGACGATTTCAATCCATAAGTATTTTGAAGATTTTTTTTAATTGTGTATATGAGTACGGAAAGTACATAACGTTTTTCTGGTATTGTTAGTGCAATAGGTATACCAGAAATGCTGAAAACACTTGACGTCAAGTTACATGTCGACACCAGAATATCTAACTTCCTTGTCCCTGTGGGAGCTACTTTAGAAAGACTAGGAAGCTGTATATTTATCTGTTTATCTGCCTTGTTTTTGGTACAGTTAGAGGGAATGTCATTAGCGGCCTCTAAGATACTCTTAATCGGGTAAATACATTAATCTATCTTAGGCGAAGTTTATATTTTTTGGTTATATGAAAAAAGAGAGAACTACCAAATTCTTCTGATCATTTTTACACCAGATTCATCAAAATATCATTTTATAAAACTATATATACATGTTTTTACCTGGCTCTTTTCTTTAATCTAACTAAGTCAACAAATCAAATTAAAATAAACATCAGCTACCTTTATGTGCAGAAATAATACCTTTTCGTTTTAAGACTGTTGTCTTCCGTGGGCTCCCTGGCTGTTCCTTCCGTCCCCAGCGCCAGCATTGTCTCTGTTCTAGTCGTCCTGTCTTCACTAGATGTTCAAGTACACAACATAGGTCTACTGATGGCACTGGAATGGTACAAGTGAGTAAACATTAAAACATAAGATTTTTCAAGCATTTTTAATAAAATTGCATTTTACTAATTATGAAGTAAAATATATTTTTCCTTTACTTAATGCAGTTAAAATTCAAATTCTTTCTTAATCCAATCAAAATTTCATCTGTGATATCATTTGTGATATAACCGTATCTTTGGTTTGAATGAAGTGACCGTATCCGGACTACAAGCAACACGATGACCATTATAATCGGCGCCGTGGTTATAGACAGACTGTGTAGCTCTAGTCTGAAGTCAGCTGAGGACAACAGTCCAAAGGAATCTCCAGCAATGGAATCAGAGGTCAAAATAAACACTGAGAACAACACAGCAAGGACGTCAGAGATCAATGTCAAACTGGACAACGAAACCGCCTCCACGAGGTTTTAAAGCTTCTTTTATACGTGAACCGAATACTAGTAAAAGGAATGATATGAACTTATAGAAAGGGAATCATAAATATCGATTCGATACATATGTATATAATAAAATAATGAAATGAATAATCTAATTCAGTTTTTTCCCTTTTATTCTTACTTTTAAGAACGGATGGATTGCAATCAAAAATATAAAGTGGGTTCTATGCAGAAAATATTATTTTCTTCTCACTAAGATATGAACAGCAGTGAAGGAACTTTGAGAATAATGTAATGCATAATATTCGAGAAGTGCGCAAATGGAACTCGTATAAATTTACTCACCTTGTCATTGGAGATCTGCAAAATTATTTCAATAAAAAACTTTCTGTGCACTAGTACTCTGAAGTTGATATTAAAAAATAACTATGCGTGAAAAGAAGAAAACAGTTGCTGTAGCCTTCAACTCGACATTTAGAAATGTCGACGACGTATTGTCATTAAGGTAGGATTCTTCTCATATTTCTTGTATTTAAAAATTGATGAAAGGATCACTTCATTATAAATAGGGATCTGACCTATAGGACCGGGCTTGGTTTTATTCTCTACAAAAAGCTTGTCGATTTCCGTTCTGAATCATGACACTAGGCTGAATACATATAACAATTTGTTTTTCCTTAATCTTTATTTCAGTGAGTGGAGATAGGGGGAGCCCTTTTTTTATTTTCTGAGATTATCTCCAAATGTAATGGGCCTAATTGATATTTGTCTTTACTTCTCATTGTGCATAAAGGTAATGTCTTCTGTCTCTGAAATTCTATTCTTTATGTCTAGGCTATTAATCCGTGGATATAATGAAAACTTGTCATTAATGTGTGCAAATTATAAAGGCCTAAATGAAATCCAAGGGAGTGCATTTACTGAAATATGTAGTCAAAATCAATGTGATTAAATTCAAAGGAATATATACAATTGAAATTCATCGCAGCTCAATGCTGCCAAGAATACCCGTATTGAGTAACACACAGTGAGTTATTCTTGTCCTCGGAGAAAGTGTGCTTATACTGAGGTTCGTTCCACCTGACTGACAATTGTACATTGGATTGTTACTACAAAAATATTTGATATCTCTTTAGTGTTTTTTATATTAAGAATGGGCATGCAGAAGGGATAGAAAATTGAAGGAAAAATACACAAGTCTATAAAAAAAAATTAAAATAGTCTTTGAAAAGGCAAAATTTAAAACTTTAAGTGTTGTACCAGGTGGATTCGATCCCCTAACTTTAAAAGGAGAGTATCCAAGGTATAAAAGTCAGCGCATATATCAACTGAGCTAGTCTGACTATAAAAATGAACAGCATAAATTTAAAGCAGATTATGAAAATCTGGTTTCCTTATTCTTTGTAGGTTTTTTGTGAATTTCGACCCCAGGGCAGGGGTGCCCCTAAAAAAATCTTATCTTAAATTATTCCTTACATCCTAACCTATCAAAATATCAAATTTATTTAGGGGCAGGCCTGCCCTGATGGACTTCAAGGCAAAATTCATGCAAAAATCAACGCTTTAAAGGACAAAATGATGTTTCGATCAACTTTGGAGGGTTATTGTAAAGTTGTAAATAATAAATTTTAGGTATAAAGTACAAATTTAAAAAATTTAGACATATGTACGGTAGAAAACAACAAATGAAGATAGATTTTAAATGTCACTTTTTCCGGGAAATTTTCTCTCCTATAGGTCAATTCTTTTGTTAAAGCGAATACATCCTTTCACAGAATCAAGAATACAATATCACTAAGTGATGGTATCAGTGAAATTAAATTTGACCGTTTTATATTAGAGACAAGGTCAGGTCAAGGTCATTTTCCTTTTTACATAAAAAGATACAACCATGAAGGGCCTATAAGATGATATTACCAAATTGACATAAAAAATTTAACTAAAAGGGATATTGGCTAATCCGAATTTTCTCTACTTTTCTTAAATTTTTAGGATATATTAGTTATTTTTATGTGCTTCCTATATTTAAATTTTTCTTATTTACACATATGGTAAAATTGTCACATAAAGATACAAAATGATACAAAAACAAAAAGTTTTGATCATTTACTAAGAGAGAAAAAACACTTTTTACGCATTTTTTGCTCAAATCTGTATTTAGATTTGAAACTTTAAAAATTAACATAGTTATAGTTTGTTTGAAAAATCATATCTATTTGATATATTTTGAAAATTTAGTCCCTTAATATTAATTTAACTTACTTTTGAAAATTTCTGCAAGTCTTTGATTGTGTAAAAATAATAACTAAATTCATTGTTCTATAATAATTTTTAGAGACAGAAAAGAAGATATTTTCATACGCCACCATTCCGCCAAAAATATAGTCCCTGCTAGTTTTCAAGTGCAGTGTACCATTTCTATTTAGAGTTGTACAATTGTGATAAGGAAAGAAAAATATGGTCTTTTAAATCTCTTACATCTAAATATATTAGACATATCAGCTAATATACTTTTAATAGTTCATCTAGTCATAAACCAGAGAAGAATCCTACCTTGATAATTCACATCAGCATTTTGATTTCTTTCTTTAGGTTAGATTCCTAACTGTATCATAAAACACAGACTCAGCAAACAATGCATGTATTTATAATGAATTCATGGTATCTGCAAACACATTAATAATGAATTTGTTCCCTAAATGACACAATTTTGTTAAAGTGACCTTTTTGTGTGTGTGTACATGCAGTTTTTGCAAAATTTATGAAATTATGAATGAATATAATGAAAGTTAATTCTTCAGTTTTGTAATTGTAGCATGTTTTTTTTTTAAAAATCAGTATTGCCAATTAATAATGGTAATTTCCATTCTCATGTCGATACGATATATCCTGGTGCAGTGGGACGGACAACTTCGGAATGGACATTTTTCCGAACTTGCGCACCCTTTTCCTTTAAAGCTATCATCTTAGGGTTTTTTTTAAATGGTGGGGTTTTTATAATCAAATTGATTTATGAAAAAAAAAATTCAACATTTTCTGCTAGTTTTTGAGATATTTGAGTTCAAAAACAAAAATCCCATGGGGAAACATGAACTTAAAAATACCCCACAAAAAACCCCACAAAAACCCCATGGGGTTTATTTTTCACCCCATGGGGGAAATAACCCCACGAAAATCAATGTAGGTTTTTTAAACCCATATGTTGCTTATATTGTCATATGGGGTTTTTTCTCCCACGTTTCTTTATCATGGGGTTTTAAATCCCATGTATTGATATATTTACTGTAAGATAATTCCTAAAAACTTGGGTTTTTTTCTTAGACTAATGGATCATTAGTATCTTCTCTGTTTCTCATTTTATAAAAGTGGATAGTTATAACAAATATCTATTATTTTTCAAATTTTCAAGTATTCATTCTTCAAATTTTTGCTTATGTAAAAGAAGATTTATATGAAAACAGGTTTCTAAGGCAGTTGCCTCCCAAAATGAAACATTCATCATAAAACTCTTCACAGATTATTTGATCGATGACCATTAATCTGAATATTTAAAAAAATGAAACAAGAAAATTTAATACCAACACAATAGCAACCAATTCACAGTGTCCAAAGAGGGTCTCTTTCCTTAACTAATGTATATTTATATATGTTAGGTTTATATGATGTCTAGTTTGTGGATTTTTTTTTAAATCTCCATTCCCCTTGCATTCACCACTAATAAGATTGGATTTATTTAATTCATGTGCAATATATCTACATATTTAATTAATGGAACTCAATTCAGTTATATATAATCACAAAGTACAACTATTAAAATCTTTTGATTCACCCAAATATTTAAAAATAAAATATTTATGCCTCTTGGATCCACCACTTATCAGTTTAGATCATGACCACACATGACATATAATCTTAATGCTTAAAATCAATCAGCCATATCAAGGATATTAATGACTATGGCATAGTCATTAATATCCTTGATACACCACAAATATTTCTTTAAAAAATGAATATCCACTCCCCATGGATCCACCACTAATAAGTTAAGTTCTTGATCACACATGACATGTAAGATTAAAGTTTGAAATAAATTAGCCATAATCATTATTATCCTTTTACCCACCACAAATATTTAAAAATAATATCCGCTCCCCTTAGATCCACCACTTTTAAATTAAGATCATGTTCACACCTGACATAAAAGCTAAATGTTTGAAATAAATTAGCCATAATCATAAATCATTAATATCCTTTGATCATTCACAAATATTTAAAAAAGATAAATATCCACCCCCCTTGGATCCACCACTTATGAGTTTTGATCTTGATCACACATGACATATAAGTTTAATGTTTGAAATCAATTAGCCGGAATCAGTAATGTCCTTTTACCCATCACAAATATTTAAAAATAATATCCACTTGCCTTGGATCAACCACTTTAAAATTAAGATCACGAGCTAAATGTTTGAAATAAATTAGACATGATCACAATTCATTAATAACCTTTGATCAAACACAAATAATTAAAAAAGATAAATATCCACTCCCCTTGGATCCACCACTTATAAGTTTAGATCTTGATCACACATGACATATAAGCTATATGTTTGAAATCAATTAACCATAATCATTATTATCCTTTGACCTATTACAAATATCTATCTACTCCCTTTACATCCACCACAACTCTTATGGCTATCAAAACAATTAATATCCACTTGCCTTGGATCCACCACTTCTTAGTTAAGATCATGATCACACACAGAAATATTAACTAAACGTTGAAATAAATTTGCAAAAATCATTAGTATCCTTTGATCCACCACAAGTATTTAAATATCAACTCCCCTTGGATCCACCGCTCATAAATTTAGACTATAATACATGACTTATAAGCTAAATGTTTGAAATCAATTAGCCATAATCATAATTAAAAAAGATGAGACAAATATCTCATGTCGCTTTGTCTTAGGTAAATGAGAAAAGCAATAAACGAACGAAAATATTACAACCTACAGTATTCCCTTAGATCCGCCATCATGTCTTTAGATATTGATCACCAATCTGATTTATTCTTCTTTTTT